ATATTGATAAATTCCAAATTTTGCGTTAGAACAACCGTACGCTCAATTTTCTGTCGTACGTTCGTTTCGTAAATGAGGCCCAGTATGTGGAAAATAATGTGTTTTTTTAACCTTAAACCACATAAACACATTTCATTACACCAAATACACCAAATAATGTTCTTTTTAACAGCATCATATGACCCCTTTAATATTGAATATTTACTGTGCTATTTTGGTCACAAGGGAGCGCCGTTTCCACAGCATAACCAAACGGGAAGGGGTAACCTAGAACTTATTTAATAAATACAAATTCTAAATTCAAACTGAAAGTGTGAATCACACCTTATATATTTCTAGTTTCAGCTATTCACTTGATAAACAACATAAGCACATGATTGTCCTACATCCTTAAAAACCACTGATCATTAACATCTACATGGGTTTCCAAATCCTGTCTCTGTCTCATTGTGTTAAAGGAGCTATTGTTCTAGAGATCTTCGGGAGAGAACAACTCTCCATTCTTATCTCCTTTATCTTGCCAAAGACCCCCTCCTGTCAATCATTTGTCAGCTGATAAACGATGATTCAGTCAAGAGTTGGGGTGTGAACGGGCTCTGCTGTGATTGGGACAGGAACATCTGCACAAATCACCATGAAAAATGTCAGTAAGATCACTCAGATGAAACTCAACAGCCCACTACATTTGGCGATGATGATTTAATCAAGCTGAGATAACGTTTCCAGCTCCAAAGCCCATTAGAGCAGACCTATTTGTACCAACTTACACGTTACATAACCACATTACATAATAATAACTGAGCAGCCTTCTGTGCAGTTCTGTTTTTCACATTAGGTTCACTTACACACATTACCATTAATTTCAATACAGTAATAATACCAAGAAACAGTATTTACAATTAGATCCGATACACATTAGGCCTAAGCACGTTTTCATTTGTATTTCTCAGCATTTACTTATGCAGTATAAACTGTTATTTATATACTATTAGTTTTATTGACATATTCAATTACATTTTATTTTTATATTTCCGGTTTTCATTTTTTATTTGTAATTTTGTTTTGTGCTTTTGTCATTTTTATTAGTTTTTGTTCTTTTTAAATCTTACACTGTAAAAAATGACCGTGAATTTAACGGTAAAAGACTGTAAAAATGCTACAGTAAAAACCTGTTAAATGGTTAACGGTAAATTCCCCTACTATATACGGTGAAAAACTGTATTGGACATTACATGTATTGGACATTAATTTTACGGTAGTCTACCATTTTTGGAAGTGAAAAATACCGTACAATTTACAGTGAATAACCGTAAATTGACATTCCCAGAATTCCCTGCGTTACATTTCAAATTTGATGTTTTTTTTGTTGAAATAACTTTGTTTCTTCTTAGTTTTTTCTTATCAGTTTTGTATATTAGGGTTGTGTGTTACACCTAATGTTGTTAAATGAATGTTTATTGCATTATTTCAGTTTCATGTGTGTTACCGTGATGGTGTTTAGTGTTTGTGTGAATGACACTGTGCACCTTCTATATATGTTATTATTTAAAAGCTGCTTGTGATGGGCTTTGGTTCATCATGTGACTTTCTCATCACCTCCTGAATTTGGTGGTTATCAGTGTATTACAAAGCTACAAAACAGATTTCAGTACTTCAATAGGTTGGTATATTAACAATATATCAGTTAATGAAATTACGGTATTTAACTGTAAATTTAAATTAAAATCAGCTTTATTTCAATTCACGTTAATTCAAATAAATAAAACGTTTTGTTATCAAATATAATTTTATATGTTAATATTATTTTATATTGTAATATGATTATATTTTATTATCTAATGATCATATTTACAAATAAATTTGAATAAATTATCAAATTATTTATATTTTTTCTAAAAATGTCAGCTTTATTTCAGTTCATTTTTTATTCAATTAAATAAAATGTGTTTAATAGTTTTAGGTTCACTAATAACTCTGGTAATATGAACTCTATAAATATTGTATTAAATTATTATTTAATAAATTAGCTACAATTTAAAAAGTCATTTTTTAAATAAAATATTAAATTATTTTCTAAAACTTAAAAATGTATTAAAGAAAAAAAGTAACAGTTAACTATTGCAAGAACTGTATAATAATGTCAGTGTTTTCAATTAAAGTTATACTTCAAGCAGAAAATCTATAGCTTTGGGGGTCTTCGGGTCTAGATACGGGTCCCTGGGAACTTTAAAGGTCGAAAACCTCTCTAAGAGATGTAGTAATATATCAATATTGTAGTGCGCACTACTGTAAGTGTCCTCACACGCCCACTTGAGCTTTAGAGCACTTCCTGTAATGTGAGGCGCGTGCGTTAGAAAAGGACGGGTTTAATCTGGGAATAAAGCTGGAGTTGCGTATTTGTCGTTTTGACTCCAGAGAGGACTCCCAGCGGGCTCCACATCCCTACAGACGATTTGCACAACCTCCACTTCACAGGACTGCAGTTGCCGGAGGGATGCAGTGAAGAAGAGATATTTATTTGACTCCACATTCACAATTAGCCACTAAAGGTCGCGTTTTCGTGTAAACAGGAGCATGGGTCTGCAGACTGTGTTCCGCGCGGTGATCATGGGGGCCCCGGGCTCAGGCAAGGGGACCGTGTCCAGCCGGATAGCGCAGAGTTTCGGACTGAAGCACCTCTCCAGTGGAGACATGCTGCGGGCCAACATCGAGGCCAAGACAGGTGAGAGAGCTCCAGCTCTGTCCTCTCATACTCTCTCAGGTTTCATTCACATTAAAAGTTTAAATAACCCAAGCCTTTTCCGTTCGCCGCGAGCGCAGTTCAGCTTACGTAAGGGTTAAACGTAGCTTTGATCAAATAAAAACAGGCTGTTAAACTTCAGCTTCGGTCTTATGCCTAAAACCAGGATATAGGCTATAATTACAGGTTACTTATCAGCAGAACTGAGTCTTGACTTCGGGTGTGTCTCAAAACGTAGTGCGCTGTCTAGCCTATCTAGACAGCAGTTTTGAAACACCGCGTCTGTCTGGAGAAACCATTAAAAAAGTCGAGCTCTGGGTTTCTGTTTGTGGTATTACTCTTTTCATGCGTAGTAGACTGTCTGGTATTTTCAAATATTTGTACTTTAATAGAGCTTTTTAACTTTTAAAGGCGATGTCTTTCTTCAAAGAATGTGCCTTGCATACTAAACATGTCCAAGAGTGTTTACTTCAAATGATTTGGCTGCAAATCACATTGAAGCCCAAGACTGCAGTGCAAATTTGCTCCACAATTCAGATGTTTGCAAGGTTGTTCTGTGTACAGTAGTGCGGGATTCTTCTCTAATCTGAGCTCTATAAATAATGGCCTTGTAGCAGAAAGCACAAATGGATGCCAGATGCTGTGTGTGTGTGTAGCATCTTCAGTTTTCTGGTGTGCAGTTCTACCCACCACAGACTATGGCTGTCAAAATGACTGAACAACTAAATTAGAATTTTCTACTAAAATATGATCAAAATTCGAATTATATTCAAATTTAAAAGGCGTAATTTCAGTTAGGGGGGGAAAAAGCTTTTGGCTTCTCTCCTGAGGCCACAAGAGGGCGCATAGAGCAAAATATTATACACATTTCTTCAAAGCGTAATAAAATAACACGACTATCTTTGAAAAAAGAGTGCATAATGTTTAAAGGGGTCATATGATGCTTTTTTAAAGATCATTATTTTGTGTATTTGGTGTAACAGAATATGTTGACATGCTTTAATGTTCAAAAAACACATTATTTTTCAAATACTGTACATTATTGTAGGTCCTCTATGCCACGCCTCTCTCAAACGCTTCGTTTTCTACAAAGTCCCTCCTTCCGACAAGCGCAGTGTGCTCTGATTGGCCAGCTGACCCAGTGCATTGTGATTGGCCGAACACCGCAAGCACTTGTCGGAAATGTAACGCCCCTTACCATAATCGCAGCTTCATCTTTCAAAATAAATGTAAAGACAGAGCCCGAAAGGGGAACAGAGTCATGTTACAGACACAGTGATGAAGCTGGT